TCGTTGAGCAAATAAGGTAAAAATAAATGCATATTATAAGACAATGAAAGTGTTTTTTGACCTTGCATGCATGTCAATGTAACATAGTTCTAGTCACGGGAAGGAGGAGACGGGAACCGGTGAACATTTAAACAATTTAATAAAATAAAGTATTTTAATGAAAGTAAAGCGGCAGCCCCTCGCGGACGACTGCCGCACACAAAACACAAAATAAAGTCCAGGCCTGGTCCTCTCTCGTCTTTCACTGTCGTAGCTCCTCCTTTTATCCTTCCGGAGCTCCTCCGTGGAACTCGAGACCGGTGAGTGGTGCAGGTGTCGCTCATTATCAGTTACTCCACCGGCCTCGCTCAGTTCCCACGGCTCTCGGCCCCGCCCCTCTCGTCACAATCAACCTGTTGTTGGGGACTCCCAAAACCAAAATATGAACCTTTCATAACCCATAATAGGGGCACTTTAATGGGAAGGTTAAGGTTAAAATGTTACATTAAGATAACTATTTGAAGCAGCGATGACAAATCCCATCTGGCTGTGATTCCACATTCTGGTCCACACCTTAAGGTGCTGTCATGTAAAAACACCTGTTCTCTAAATATTCTCCATCCTCTCCTACAGGATTATTGTGTGTTGCAATGCTTTAATGAATGTTTAAATCTCCTCCTAGGCTGTTTTCTACAAGGTTCAGCGATTTAGGCTTATCCTTTTGAAGAGGATAAAACAGAAACAGGCTCTAGAAAGCTGGGAACTGGGAAAGATTAGTCAAGAATAAATTAGGCATGTGTGACTATCAATTTAAAAAAAAACTTCTGGGCAAAAAAAAAAAAAAAAAGGTTTTGCATTAGGGAATGTTTAAAGATCCTTTCAAATCTTAAAACAGTATGGAACAGTTGGATTCATCCAAAAGGGGGGAGAGTGGTCACATCAGTCATGTCTCTATTAATTTAAATGCAAAACTGAATGCAGTGTGTGCAGTTTCTGTCCAAAGTAACAGAACATGGATAATGTTTGGGTGAAGGTCCTGGGCTAAAGATCTGATAAAAGAAAATAATTAATTTGGTGAAACAAAATGATTGAGTTCACAGATGCACTGCAAATCTGTACGGTAAAAAAAATATGGTAATTCTTTTGAGCAAAATAGTGGCAAAATGGTTATGATATAGGGGCCCGCATGACTTTGGGAAGGAAATATCAAAAGGGTTTCCCAGAAGCCCTTATGGGTTATGAGGAAAGGTGAACCTAGTGAGAGGGGACGGCAGGGATAGGGGGCAATGGGGATCTTGTAGAAAAGATGATGGAGATGGGTGGGGCCTTTCCAGCCTCAAGAGTGAAATGGGGCACTACCCTCATCAACCTTCAATTCGTCTCGCTTCTCTCTCCTTCTCCGTCAGAATGGGTGATCGTGGAGGATTCAATAAGTTTGGTGGTAAGTGACAAACTCTTTAAACAAGGAAATTAAGGGGTTTAAAGAGAGCCTGGTCAAAGAGGGAGGAGTGGGCATCTGGTTGTGTCACAGACAAACTTGCATTAAAAGAATACACTGAAACGAATGTGGTAACCACTTGGTGTGTTGTGGTAAACAACTACGCGTTAATAGATTTAGCAACAGCATGCTCATTATGGATGGTTAAGAAAGAAATACAAACTCATTTGAAGACCGTCATAGAAAATAAAAAAAAATCTTAAAGGGATATTATATAAAATTATATAAAATGTAAATGTATATATAATTATATAAAATTCTGTAATTTACTTACCCTCATGTTGTTTAAGTCCAAACGACTTTTTCTTCTGTTGAACATAACAGAGAATTAATTTAGACATAATTAGAGAATTTAAATTTTTGGGTGAATTATTGCTATTATTTCAACATTCTTTCTCTTGTTAATGTCGCTACACACTTCTCAATATAAGGAAAAAATATAAGGAATATTTAGTAATAGGACTCTATTGAATTAGAAGCTATTGAGCAGACTCAGAAACATGGTACAAAATGGTTGATACGTGATGGTTTTTGTGACTCCAAATGGACTGTTGTGGTTTATTATGCACTTTTATCAAAAAGCACCATTCTTTAGTTGATATGCGAAAAAAAAGTCAGTTGTGTTGCAAAAAAGACTTTTCAATGCTTGCACCTACTGTGGCCGTATCGTTTTGTGGTGGTTGGACAGTAAAAGTGATACGCACATACCTTTATCAGCTTGACTGTTCTTACAATGCATGTAATGCCTCCAGAAGTCTGGGAGAATATTGGATATTAAAAAATATTCATCAATTTGAATGAAAAATTCCTGTACCCTTTACTGATTTTTATTTTACGGGGACAATTTTTTAACAACCACACTAAAATAATATTGTTCAAATTTACCTTGAAGAATCCAATACTTTCAATCCAATATTGTTTTATTTATTTTGAATCTCACTTTTTGTTGCACCCAACTTGTACTCTGAGCACGTTTGCTTTTTAAAAGGTGGATTCAGGTGGCCAACAACTGGATTCTAGAGGTTGTTCAAATCCATTTGTGTCAGGTGGTTTTAGTGTTTAGTACTTGTCTGATAAAGGTCCTGATGGAATAATTAAACAGAAACAAGTATATGATCTAAAACAACAGGAATGGAGACCTGGAGATAGATAGGGGTCAATATGACAAAGCATGTTCACAATATATAACAATTTGGAACATGCATAACTTGTTCATAATTGTTTGAACATGACAGCATCGGCTGGAAACCAACATGCTTGTGTTCTCCACATGGTTTCTAACTGGTAACTACGTCGAATGGCATCTAAAGTTATAACAAGGTGTTGAAACTTATCTGGCTAGCTCAAATACAATTTGATATGCAACCAGATCCGGTGAAAATTGTCATGGGTTTCGTATGGAAAGAATATTTGCTGAAGATGGTGGATTGTATGGTGAACTTCAAGGTGATTTCAAAGCTTGCTACACTTTGGGGTTAAGGAACATCTGGCTGTCTAATACAGTGAGTCATGGTCATATTTCCTAATACTGAAAGTACAACATTTGGGTTTCAGGATTTTTATTTATTTATTTATTTTTATTTATTTATTTATTTTTAATTTTTGTATATATCTTCAGATTAGACTGGTAAAATGTGTGAGATGGTGGTTCATTGTTGATCATCGTAATCTTCTTTAAACGTCAGTGGTGTTGGTAACTATTCTAATGGTTTGACAAATTACTTGCACTTGTATAAAAGTTGTGAAAAATGGTTGCTTAACCTGGGAAAATCTAATATCTAGATGTACTCAGAGAGCAAAAGCAATGACACAACCCAGTGTCTGACTGTTTGGAAATCTGCTTTCGTGAGGTGGAGAATGTGAACCTTATCATATGGCCAATAAACGTATGGCCATTGATGAAATGTGTCCAAATGTCACGTATTACAGTGCTGATGATGGAGTTACTCCTCGTTAAAAAGGTGAATGTTACTGGTTGCAAAGTGGTATCCAGTGGTATTTTAAGGTGGAATATTAAAAGTTGTCCTTATTAGCTGTGCATGTTTTAAAGTTGACCAAATACCTACAACTAATAAAGATGACAAGAAACCAACAACAACAAAAGACCCAATCGCTGCTCTTTGCAAAGCTGACTGTAAAAGTATGGTTGAACTAGACGGTTATTGCATGGTTTCCGCTTTTGCAATGAGGGATAAAAAGCCACTACATGGAGTTGTCTGAGATGTATTTCGGATTGCCTTTTGAGTATAAATCAAGCTACAACTATTGGTATGGGAGGAAAGAATCTCCCACTTGAGACCTCGGACTTATTCAAATGTTGGCCGGTTTTCATCAGTTTTGAAAAGGTGTAGTGTTGGTTTGTGCTTGTGGTGTTCCTCTCTCAAATATCCAGCTACAGATTTGCATCAGGTCCTGTTTTCTAAATTTGGAGCATACATTATATATAATTGATGGTACAGAAGTATATGACCCCCAAAATGATTAAGAATGAGTATTATAAGTGTGTGTAATTTGTGTACATATGTAATATTAATGACTGTTCCTTTCACTTCAAAGGGCCCAGGGATCATGGAGCTGGTGGGCCCAATAGTAAGTCAAAAACATAATCGTATATTACTTGCATTAATAGACCATTTTCCAGCCTGATTATAAATTTCTGATTTTTTTTTTTTTTTACAGTGCAGGAGCAGGATAACTCTGACAACAACACCATCTTTGTACAAGGTCTTGGAGACGACTATACCGTGGAGTCAGTAGCAGATTTCTTCAAACAGATCGGCATCATCAAGGTGGAAAAGCGAGAGAAAACTCCCACTGTGTAGCAACTATCTTTGTATAGTTCTCCTTGTCTTAATATCATTTTATTTTCTCACACAGATCAATAAGAAAACAGGATTACCCATGATAAATCTGTACACAGACCGAGAGACAGGGAAGCTTAAAGGGGAGGCTACTGTTTCCTTTGATGACCCCCCTTCTGCAAAAGCAGCCATTGATTGGTTTGATGGTATGTTGGTCAGAGTAGATCTCACTAGTGCCTTTTCCCTAAAACAAGTTTGGAGTCTGTTTGTTTTCGCTTATTTTTGGATTTCCTGGACATCTAAGTCACATCTTTCCTCCTCAGGTAAGGATTTTAATGGAAATCCTATCAAGGTGTCCTTCGCTACTCGCAGAGCTGAATTTGGACGCGGCGGTGGCAGCATGAGAGGTGGTCGAGGAGGTAAGATTATATCTCGCTGTGGTATTTTAAGTCGTCTCCTTTTTTCTTTTAGTCTTTGTGTTGTTTTCCTGACATGGTTTTCTTCTCCTCTGGCAGGGCCAATGGGCCGTGGGGGATTTGGGGGTGGAAGAGGTGCTGGTGGTGGTTTCCCAGGCAACAATGGTGGCGGTGGCGGCGGCGGTGGTGGTGGTGGTGGTGGCCAGCAAAGAGCAGGAGACTGGAAATGTTCAAACCCGTAAGTGTTGGATTGTAAACTCTTACCAAATTGTGAAGCGTTTACAGTTACATAATACAAGTTATATATAGTACACTCACGTAAAGTATTAGATACTATATCAAATCTCAACTGGCGGCTTTAACATTGTGTATTGTTGCTTTTCTCTTGTGTGTGGGCAGAACTTGTGGTAATTTGAACTTCTCATGGCGAAATGAGTGTAATCAGTGCAAAGCTCCCAAACCGGAGGGAAGTGGAGGAGGAATGTCCCCGATGGGAGGTAAAGAGAAACATTTCTGCGAAAAAGAACAAGATGCTGCAGTCGTATGTGACTGAGAGAACTCAGTGGATTGATTGCTGCTTTAATGTATCTGATTTTGTAGGTGGTTTTGGTGGAGACAGAGGCAGAGGCGGTTTTGATCGAGGTGGTTTCCGCGGCCGTGGTGGCGATCGAGGGGGCTTCAGAGGAGGGAGGGGAGGTGACCGGGGAGGATTTGGACCTGGCAAGATGGACTCACGGTGAAATTACTGATGATTCACGCTCTTGCACATGTTAAAATGTTATTTAGTAGAAAACTGATTTTCAGTATACAGTATTCACCAGTGAAAAATGTATTTCATTGCCTGCGTTGTGTGTTTTTCAGGGGTGAACACAGACATGACCGCAGAGACCGGCCTTACTAATGGGAGAAATTCTCTTTTGTCCAAACAAGACTTTAATTCGATGTGGGACCAGTATTCACTCCACTTCAACATGTATTACCTTGTTGCTCATGGTTTGTGTTGTATGTTGTCAAAAATGAGTGTTTTTGTTTTAGTTCTGCTAACATTATTTTTTGGTATTCTCTCTATTCTGATATTCTTAATCATGAATTTTGCGTTTTTCCTCTCAGAATTTGCTGGTGTTTAGATCACAGTTGTAATATTTGTGCAATTTATTAAATGTACTTTCTTTGAAATCTTTTGAAAACTGTGGTTTAAAATGAAAAATAGCAAACTTGTAATGTGGCATTACTTTATTTCAACATCTTTTCAACATCCTATTTAAATGCTTTGTCTATTGCTTTAAGTAGAAAACAAACAAACAAATGGTTTATCTCTAAATTAATATTTTTTAAATACAGGTTTATTATAGTCAAGTAAAACAAACAAACATTTATTACGTTTCATTACATTTATTTTCTTTAAAATAAACATTAACTGAAATTAATTTCATAATAAATTCACTTCATTTCAGGTGTTTGCCAAGGTAACACTTGATATACTAAAATAATTAAAAATTAAACTGAATAAAAACTATATTAAAAAAAATAAATAGATAAAAATTACAAAATGAAGATATAAAAACAAAAACAGTCAAAATATCAATAAAACCTATCATATTTAAACATTCAATTATACGAAAACAACTGCTTAAAGATTAATGGCACAACGTTTTCACAATAGTAATTAATTTATAGTTTAAATAATAGGAAGGCATTTCATTATGTCAAGTGACAAAAATTATGGTGAGCTTGAGGTGCATCCCAGTTTACTCAGTGCACACTTGTCTATAGAGGACCAGATGGTTGTAAAAGTATAACATGACTCCCCTAAATAACGTTATTTCTAATCAGTCCTAGAACATTGAAGCTGATGCAGGCACCAAAACCACTGTCCTTTGAAAGGTGAATGAAGGTGAGACCACAGCACAACAGTGCAGTTCTTGAGGAAGTGTGAACTCTCAGACCTCCAACTTTAACCCCAGGAGTCTCTTAGGTTGTTAGGAGGAGCCAACAAAAAACGCAGGTAATAGAAAGAGATTATACTTACCTGCCATTATATTCACTACCTTATGTCGCACTATTAATACCCTTCCATTTTATTAAAGAAAAACAAACTATTAATAAATGTTTAATTACCTGTGAGATTGTAGCAGCACCACCTGCTGTCCGCTAACGTGTAGGGGTTTCTGAACTTGTGGATAGAACAAGCAAGAATAAAAAAAAAATAATATA